AAAGGCGTCTTGGGACAGATTGATGGTGCCATTGCAGAAGGGCGGAGGACAATAATCCACAATCTTCACCACCACTTCTGCGCCACTGCATGGATTGGGCACATCGTTGGCCGCGCCAATGCACCGCACCTTGTAAGAACTCCCGCACGCGCCTCGGTCGTCCCAAAACACATCGCTCGCTCCCGCAATCATCACCCCTTCATTCTGATTTCCGTAGCATGCAGAAGCTGACACAAGACAATTAGCAATCCAAATTTTCTAACAAAAATACTCGTGAATTATGTAATATTTTTTATTAATACTTACGGGTATATGGAGGGGCATAATATGTGGCAGTGCCTTGATTTGCAGAGGAATTAACGACAAAAATTGCGAGAATGAGAGAAAATAGTAAGTGATAAGAACTCATGGTTGGAGGAGGATGAGGACGAAGAAGAGGAAGGCTTTGGTTTATTTATCTATTTATTTTGGTGTTTTTAACAGAGGAGAAATAAGGTTGCTATTTATAGAGGTTTTGGATCAAGAAATGAAGTTTTTCTAAGTCTTTGGAAGACTTGGAAGTCATGGGCGGAATGCTTTTAAGAAATTTGCTTGAAGGGGAGGGTTTGTGTTTAAAGCTAAATTAACTTTCTAAGGACTAATTTGTACCATCAATGACTTGTTTTCTCATTGCTTTTTAGGTGATGTTTAGCTGTGACTTGATTTCATATTTATTAAACCCTCTGCAATGGAAATTAAACTTGACCACGCAAGCGACGACTGGAAAATCCCACATATTCGTCCTGTAATTGAATTTAATAAATCCAGATTTACGTCATAAAGTGAATGAAACTGTATAGTTAATAGTATAGTTAATAGATTGAATTAGGTTAGTGTATTATTTATTATGAAAACAAAGATTTCAAGATTTGATGCTGCTGTGAAATTTTTCAGCATGATTGTTTAAAAATGGTTATAGTTGAGTTTAATTAATATAATTAATGAGAGTTTGCTTCAATCATTTTTACGTATTTTGTAGAATATCACATCCCGCTAATCAGACCTTGAGTTTGTTGTCATATAGTGGTTTCAATTTTTCACAATTCTTATGTATTTACATATATAATAGTTAGAGTTTGATATTTACAATTATAACACTTTGGTGTTATATATGGATGCGTGAAAATGTGTATTTCACTTTAAGAAAATTATAATAATACCATTATTTTTCTATGTACATGTTACAGATTTCAGTGACAGGCATGTAAAACTTTAAGGGTTAGATATGAAAATATATAAGAATCAGTTAAATTAGTGTGCTAATGTAGAGATAATCTGCCGCTAAACTTGATATGTGTAAGATTTGTGTAAGATTTGCGTTAGATTTAAGGTTTACGCAAAAATTGGGATAAGTAATATAATGAGGGTCGAACTTAGCTCCGAAAAAGTATTACATCAGGACTCCTGGGTGCAGAGTCTAATTAAATTATAGTCGTAGAGGTGAACGACCAGGTAACACAAGAGAATATTCCTCTCGTGTTATTCAGGTGTTATTATGTGTTATTGAGGTGTTATTGTATGTTATTCAGGTGTAATTGCGTCATGAGAATATTTCTGGTGTTATAATAACACAATAACACATCAATAATACTTGAATAACACACAATAAGACCTGAATAATACACAATGACACCTGACTGAAACGAGGGGAATATTCTCTTGTGTTACCGGGTCGATCACCTCCACGGTGTAATTTCATTGGACTCCGCACATAGCTCTAGGTGCGAAATCCGGGTGTAATATTTTTTCCTTAGCTTCCCTCTGTGTCCACTTGGAGCGGAGTTTTCCGGATATGTTATATTAGCGTCGGAATGTAACGAATAGTATGGAAAAAA